ATGGGAAAAACAGGGAAATTTTAACACAATTTTTAGGTTACTTAATGTCTGTATATCATGCTAAGTTTTTGCATACACTACTATAGATGACTAGGCCGTATGGAAAAACTGTTGGTCAGACTCAAAGCCCTCGACGAGGGCTAAAAGATGGTCTTGAGTGAAATTCTCATTATATGAGATATATATATATAAATAAATTGACGAACGATCCCCTTAATATTATGTGACGTCGTAGACCGACCCTGGAGGGTAACAAAAAAAACTTTATTCCCGTCGGAAACAGCCATTATAGTCGTTAAATATGTTCATATAACGTAATTTCTTATATAAGCAAACAATATAAGTAAACAATGACATACGTCATACGTTCAGTTTTCAAGGGAGGTAACGTTTTTAAAATTATTATTTTTCAAATAATTGTATACTATTTCAAACAGAAACAGAAAATGACGAAGTATAGCATTTGTTTTAGTACAAAATTAAGTTGTTAATTTGATTTAAGTATCCTAATTAAATTAATTAATTAATTTCAAAAGGCAATGTAATATAAACTATGAGATATAATGTTCATGAAACCTGTGTAGTTCTAATTCCATTTTAGTTATACATTGCGTACTTTCCAAAAATTCTCTTAGTAGTGAATATAAATGACGAACAAAAACATGTTTTTTCTAAAGTTAGCATTACTGTTTAAATTCAACTTATTAAAGCACTCCACACCCAATCCATCGCTAAATAATTAAGTATTCAAATTCTCAAATGTTTTTTAAAAACCTAAGCGAAGCTAGGCAGTATGCCTAGTATATATATATATATATATATATATATATATATATATATATATATATATATATATATATATATATATATATATATATATATATATATATGTGTGTGTGTGTGTGTGTGTGTGTGTGTGTGTTTGTGTATGTATGTGTGTGTCAAAAAGTTAAATAATATGAATAACTTTGTTGTGTTTTTATGAGAGGCGAGGTCTAAAGTGGCTTTTACATTTTCGGATTAATATTTTTATTCTTAAACAGGAATCTTTTTCAAAGAAACAACTCCGCTGATGACGTCAAAAGAACTGGTTTAGACATGGGTTTTGATCCGTTCATGTCTGTATGTTCTGATTTTTTTTTATTCGCATTGAAATCCCCTCAAAAAAGAATTTTAAAAAATCGGATCCTTTCGTTTCATGCTTATTTTTTCGTTTATTTTTTTAATTTAAAAACTTTTTTTTTTAAATTCTGAACGCACGAAATTTTTTTAGCTCTTGACAAGAACAAAATTTAGATCAACATTTAAAATTTTTGCCACATTCTTCGCACATCCACAAAGACATTCAGGAAAAGACAACTTCTCCGGTCCGTCTTTTAAAAAGAAAAGTCCACTTTTCATGACCCTACCTATTCTTCCAGGCATCTCTTCTGCCCCCCCCCCCCCCGAAGAAAGTCTACCGCCCCCCCCCCCCCCCCCGAACGAAATGAAATTTATATAGAAACTATATATAATGTAACAGTGTCCGCCCCTCACCCCCCCTGAAGAAAAAAGTCTGGAAGAAACACTGTACCTATCAATGTTCATTTTAGAGGACCGATTTGTTTAGTGTCATGGGGGTATAACTATGCGTGCTATTTATAACTATTAAGTAGCCTAACAAAAGCTACGCCACTTAATACAAACGGTATACAAACTTTATAATACTTTACGTATGTAGTATAATGTTACTTGCCTTAGTTCCATCTTACAAGTACAAGTTTTATGTTCGCACGAGCATTGCGCACCAAAAATAATATAAAAGAATCGAAGTTTTGCAGAAATCGGAAATTACGTATTGTGAAACTTCCGGTCACCGGAAATAACATTTGAGTGAGATCTCAATCATCTCATACCCATGAATGAGATTCTTTTAGATAACTGAAACGGAGCTCAAATTATCGGTATTTTAGTAACACTTCCGGTTATCAGAGGTCACTGAAAAAGTGAAAATAATCTAAGTATAAAATCTTATACATATATATAAAATTTCGTCTACCTACTGGTTACCTGAAATTGTTCGAAAAATTAATAGAAACTTGTGCATACAATGTATTCTGTGTGAAAGTTAAACGGTACTCAGGTTATTGGCTTTTGAGAAACAGGAACTATAGTTAGTACCATTTCCGGTTACCGGAAAACGCTCAAAAGTTGACAAAAAACTACTAATCTGATATAATAGTCACATATGACATTTCCTGAACCTAACTCAAATGGTACCCAAGTTATCTTGTTTACACACACACACACAAACAGTCGGACAGAATTACAAAACTAATTTTTTCCGACCCCGGAAGGTTGTGAAAAATTCAGAACTCGTCAAAATCGCGATTTGTAATTTTATTTTGTACAATTATAACGATTACTATTCATCTTTTATATTCCGTGTACAATAAAGTAGGGAGGTGTAAAAGAGCAAAAAACTGGCAACATATCTGTAATTATTCAGCGCGATTACAATACTTCCTCTATACCCTGTTAACGAGAAGGTAAAATAACATTGAAAAGTCCTCAGTTGTTTTTTTTTTTCAATTTTTAAAAAAAAGTTCTTGTAAATGTTCCACGTTATTTTTATTATTCGTTAGCTCTTATAAAATGTCCATATCCATGTACTATTTCTATTAGTAAATGTTCCATCTTCATTTTCTATTTTTAAGGTCCCGTAAAAGTTCTACGTTTTTCTACTTCTTCTAAGTTCTTGTAAAAGTTCCACGTTTTGTGTACTATTTCTAAGTTCTTAAATGTGTCGTGTTCTTGTACTTTTCATAAGTTCTTGTGAAAAATTCAGCTTCTTTTACTTTAAACTCTTGTAAAAGTTCCATATTCTACTTTTAAACTCCTGCTAGAGTTCCACGTTTATGTACTATTTCTTTTTGTACAAGTTCCACGTTTGTGTACTATTTCTTCTCGTATAAGTTCCACGTTTGTGTACTATTTCTTCTTGTACAAGTTCCACGTTTGTGTACTATTTCTTCTTGTACAAGTTCCAAGTTTGTGTACTATTTCTTCTTGTAAAAGATCTATGTTCTACTTTTAAATTCTTATTAGAGTTCCATGATTGTTTACTATTTCTTCTTGTGAAAGCTTATGTTTTCGTACAATTTCTTCTTGTAAGAGTTCCACGTATTTGTACTATTTCTTAAGATGTGATATCCTTACTAAAGTTGCAAGTATTTGTACTACTTCTAAATGTGCGATATCCTTAGTGAAATTCCACGTATTTGTACTATTTCCAAAGATGTGATATCCTTACTAAAGTTCCACGTATTTGTACTATTTCCAAAGATGTGATATCCTTACTAAAGTTCCACACTGTTGTACTTCAGCCCCCAGCTAGATGGGCTGACCTTGAGACCACCGGCCTGAAGGCTATCCACTATTTTCATCACAACTTGGCTAAAATAGCCAAATTAACCATTCGATGGCCTGCCCCCCTCCAGAAAATCGTCCGAAAAACTAATTCGATTTCTCCGTCGGTAGTTAACCCGGTCCAGTGACACACGCTGGAGAGCAGGGTCCATGTGATGTAGACAGGGGGGGGGGGGGGGAAAGGAAGGTTCCCACCCCACCCCCCTAACGCAATGACAATCGCCATGTCTGACAACCCTACAGCCCGTAATCGACCGTTTGACCAAAAACGATTGGGGTAATGGACCTTGTTGCCCCGGGTTTTAAATTCACTCCGAGGCGCGTGAAAATTTGGCGTCTTCTGCCCGGGATGTATTGCTCAAGTATGCTTCAAATGTCTGGCCCAGCGCTCCAACTCCCCGGGTCCACGGCCCCCCCCCCCCCTAGTTTAGTATCACCCGCCCGCCATCTTGTTTGCGACGCGATTGAAATGTCGCGGGTAACGAGCGACAGCGAGGGGAGATAATCCGCGCTCTAACAAGACAGAAACAAGTCACTGCCGAGCAGGGACGTCTCGGGGACCTTAACTCCATTTCTCTTAGCTCAGAGCTTTCTCAAATGAGACCAAATTGGCCTCAATATGAACGCGCGCTCTTTAGCTTCACGGTGAGGTCTCAAGGGGGGGGGGGGGGGGAGGGGGGAGGAGGAGGGGAAGGGGGGGGGGAGGTTTACAGATTTTTCGAGACGATTGGCTCGCTTGAAGAAAACAGATCAGCTCATGTCCGTTGCCTCTCAGTGTTTCTGAATTCTGGGAAAGCTTCGGCAATTACGGTACCCTCGCGTGTGGGGAGGGTGGGGGTGGGGGTGTGAGGAGACTCAATCACTTGACACGTGACATGAGTTGATAAACTTCCCTTAAGACCACGTGACAGACAGCAGTCTCTTCCGACAAGTTGAATCAGCTTTTACAGTGGACGCTATGGCCACTTATACATACAGTTATATATATATATATATATATATATATATATATATATATATATATATATATATATATATATATATATATATATATATATATATATATATATATATATATATATATATAAATGTGTGTGTGTATATATATATATATATATATATAAGTATAATTGATATAAAAATACAAGTATATATAGGGCTATAAGTATGTATATATATATATATATATATATATATATATATATATATATATATATATATATACATATAAGTATGTATACATGCATTTATATGTCTATATATCAACATTTATATAATATATATATATATATATATATATATATATATATATATATATATATATATATATATATATATATATATATAGTCATATGTTTATTTACATAGGCCTACATATATATGTATATGAATATGCATTTAAGTTATCTAAGGTGAAACTAGTGGTCGAGCAGGTAATCTCTAATGAGACCAGTGCCAGATAACATTTTATTTCTGTGAGCGCCACCAGAGCCCAGGGTACTGACGTGTCCCGGATCGAAGCCACGACTGATATAGAAATTGATTATCGATCAGCTCGCCTGCTGGCACCTGTGAGAGGGTTTATTTCGTGTATTGATTTACCTGGGACGTTGGGGACTTTCTGGCATGGCTGGTGCCTGCTAATAGGGCAGGTGTTTCAATGGTCACTTTGTTGCGATCTAATTTGGCCGTTTGGTGTTTCTGAGGAGTCGTGCACATTCTCGTGAGTAGTCAATTTGGTCTTGGTTATTTATAATGGTCGTTATGTAGATATAAGAAAACAACAATTATATATATATATATATATATATATATATATATATATATATATATATATATATATATATATAAAATGACTATATATGAATACATATAAACACAGTTAAATATATACAGGTATTCTAATAGCCTATACATGTATATAATTATAAATGAATAAAATATTTTTTATATACTTGTACTACATGCATATATATATATATATATATATATATATATATATATATATATATATATATATATATATATATATATATATTATCCGTTACATAGTAATTTCTAGTATCTATATTTCCAATTACTATATCACTTGTTACGAAATATAGCCTAGTTTACAGCAGACACGCATGTTTTGTGTATACAGCAGACACACACGATTCATGTATTGTGTCTGCTGATCTAGTGTGTAACCTGAAGGGTGTCACATGTCCCATTCCTTGGCTGGCCCCGTAAAACGTTGCGCAACAAGCTTATTATAAACAGCTGTGGGTTCCGTATATCGGAAAAAGTGGTTTAATTAAAGGTTTTCATCTGGTGAAACGACCCTCACCCTTTCTCCGTGTTTCATCATCATCTTCTTCTTACTCCCGTTCGTGCCAAAGACCCATGGGGCAGATGAAGTAGAGTTCATCAGATTCATTGACCTCAGCATATGAAGAAATAGCGTGGTCAGCACTATGCCCAGCCGCCTTTGTTTCCCTTACGTAAGTTAGATACCATCAAAGCTTGGTGGACTCAGGGACGTTTCACTGATTTGAACCCGGATTCGAACTCGAGACTCACTGGTTAGCAGTCTAGCTCTCTACCGCCAAGTCAAGCCATCCCGTGTTTCACATTCTCTCTAGCAATATGACAGTAGTTTGTTATTAGATGTATTTACGATACTTACATGTTTTCCAGACAGGTAAGTGTCTTAAAATTTGTAACAAGTTTTGCTGTAACTTCACCAAAGCCTCGTAACATCATTACTCTACTCTAGCACTAAACAAATTTTACTGTAAACATTTTGAACATCACCCATATTGTTACATAATTAAAAAAATTTTCTATTAATAAAACCCTTGCTCAATAAATTGTATTGCTACAAAATAAGAAACATTACCCATAAACCCAACGAACCCCTTTTAGTTTATCCTTTATATTATTATAACTTAATATTTGAATTTTACAATGCCGAACAATTTTTTTTGGACAATTTTTCTTTAACCTTACCATAGATTCTAACGTATCTATTCCTCCACTCCTGCCCTGACCCCACATCTGTTTATACCCAGGTGTGTCGAATGACGAGCATCCGGTCCTCCGTGCGACCCTCGGGCAGCAAACAGCCCTGGGGTACCATCCTGCGACCAGAGTTCGGCCTGGGCTACCAGAAGATGACCGGCTATGAAATCGACCAAACAATAAATAGACTCAACACGTTACCGGCCAAGAAGGCGGACCTCCACGAGAGGCCGAACAAGAGGATGACACAGGAGGAGATACAAATCATGGTAGGGACGAGCCCGGCTTAGAATGTAGATGAAGTAGAGTGGGGGGGGGGGGGATAGTTTTACCATGTTTTCTGCTCGTTACACTGGTAACCCGAAAGCCTCCTGTTCGAATCCGGGTTCAAGTCAGTAGAATGTTCCCGAGTCCGCCCAGCTCTAATAGGCCTACTTAACTCATGTTATTGTCATCGTTGGAAAATAAAGTTTATTTTAATTTTTATTATTAGTTACTTCTAATATTTACTCAATTATTCTCTTGTCATCCAAAGGTTTAAGAAAAAAAAAAACAACCAATGAATCCCGTGTCCAAGAACTGTAGGAAATTTAAAAGCCCCCCCCCCCCCCCCCCCCAACCTCAGACTAAAAATTTTTATCCAGCATTTTTTCTCTCCATCAAATCCTGACGATCGTCCTCAGTTTCGTGGAAATTCGCGCCACAAAGTATTTAAAATTTTTTTTTTTAAAAATAAAGTACTATTATGCCCAGTATAGCACCATTGCAGGGAGCTCCACCGTGATTTTTTATTTTACCTGTGGGCCCACCGTGATTTTTATTTTACCTGGGGGCCCACCGTGATTTTTTATTTTACCTGGGGGCCCACGGGGATTTTTTATTTTACCTGGGGGGCCCACCGGGATTTTATTTTACCTGGGGGTCACCGTGATTTTTTTGTTTTATCTGGGGGTCACCGTGATTTTTTTATTTTACCTGGGGGTCACCGTGATTTTTTTATTTTACCTGGGGGTCACCGTGATTTTTTTGCTTTACCTGGGGGCCCACCGCGATTTTTTACGTAGGCCAGCGGGCCAGTCAACCCCCTGAGTCCAGATTCGCAGTTAGAATTTTGGCAAATAAGGAAAACTCATGGGAGGGCAAACATTTTACAATTCATTACCGCCCATGATATCAGGAAAATGTAATTCAGGGGAAACAACTTAGTAGCGAATTCCTGAACGCAACAAAGTATAACAAAAAGAAATGTAGGTGAGACATACGGAAAGTAACATTGTTTAAAATAAATTTCTACAACAAAATTATAGCTATGCATTATAAATATTTATTTTCTTTTGTTTCAAAATTTCAATATATAATTATTTTACTATAAAGCATAATACAACACCTTAAACTTTATAAATTATTATGCTTAAAAGTTAAGTCACCACTCTTAAGCACACAGTTAGGTCAATGTATCTTCCGTTTTTCACGTTTTTCACAAAAAAAAAAAAAAAAAAAAAAAAAAAAAAAATTATTTAGTTAACAGAAACTGTTAGTTTAATATAAAAACATTTTTAAATAAAAAATTAGTAGAAAATGTTTACGGGATTTGTCCAATACACAACAATTGTCCCACACACTTGTATCCAAGATTTGTCCCATAACTTACTACTCATGTTTTAATATGACCATCTCCTTATGTCCACAGATGGACCGACTGACCAACGTGAAGAAAGACAAGATTCCCGACAGTGACCGACGCATCATGGCGTCGTTCTACGGGAACATGGGCGTCGTCTCGTCTTTCGCATGGAGGGGCTACAACTAGGAGGGGCTACAACTAGGAGGGGCTACAACTAAGAGGGGCTACAACTAGATTTTATTTACGTCGGACGTTCTTTTGAGTACAGATGTTCACAAGACAATATTCACACATCATTCCCTCCATCTTTCCATCCATTCAACCATCTTTTCATACATACTCCCATCCATTCCCCCAAATTTCCATTAATTCCTCAATCTATCCATCCATTTACCCATCTTTCCATCCATACAACCATCCATTTCCCCCATCTTCCCATCCATTCCCCCATATTTTCATCCATCCCCCATCTTTCCATCTTTCCCTAATTTTTCCATCCATTCCCCCATCCATCCACCCATTCCCTCATCTTCCCATTCCCATATCTTTACATCCATTGCTTCATCTTCCAATTCCCTCATCTTTCCACCCAACCCAAATCTTTTCATCCATCCCCCATCTTTCCTTCCATTCCCCATCTTTCCATCGATCAACCAATAACTCACGATATTCACCTAAGAATCCTGACAACCAATTACCCATATCACATTAACAGCCAACTAGCCAACCGTCCACATATTCACGCTTTCCTTTATTCATCAACCCATCTCCCCATCCACAAAAGCAATTAACCATCTCCATCTTTCATCATCCCGGCTCTCCACCAACCAATGCTGACACCCATCTACCAACAAAAACTCATCAAATCATTATCCAATTGATCGTCACAAAAATTAACGTATCTGCTCATGTATCCGCCACACCACGCATTCATCTACAAAGCTTCACTTACCCCACCAAAACTAAGCCACATATATTTTTTACACAAGTATCTATTTATCAACGGAAATGTAATTATCTAATTTTTATTCGCATTCCCTTCCACCCATCCCCATCTCATCATCTATAGTCATAAACTCAACCCCCCCCCCCCACTCATCTGCGCAAAGCACAACCACACAACCACAGTTTCTCACCCATAAGCCCAATCATCCCGATATGAAACCCACAAACCCACACACCCATCATCGAATCCACAAACCCAACCACCCACCAATCTAACTATCAACAAACACACAAACCCAGCCACATAACATCAAACCCCACAAACCCACCCACCTATCAGCAAACCCCACAATCCGGCCCACCCATCAGCAAACCCACAAACCCAACCACCCATCATCAAATCCTAAAACCCAACTACCCATCTAACCAACCCCCAATCTAACAAACGAACCAACCTACGAACCAAACATTCATATCCACACAGCCACCCATCCATCCATGCACTCACCATGAAACTCAACCACCCATCCAACCCCTCGTCTACCAACCCCCTCCCCCATCACTCCATCCCCTCCCCCATCACTCCATCCCCTCCCCCATCACCCCATCTCCCCCTTTCTAACTCTGCTTTACTCTTCCATAACTGACTTACTCCTCGAATATATTATACAAGAAACGTCAAACATTATCCCCATTAAACACATTTCTTAAGCTATCGAGTCTCTGTTATTTATACAGTATGTATCCAAAATTCCATTCTATTGCAACAACTTACCCCCCACCCCCACCCTATCCACTCATCCCCCCCCCCCATACCCACTCGCGTGACGTCCCAGAGAAACTAAACATTAATGCAGACAAATTTTCAAGTAAATCTATTTGGACGGCGAGCGTACCTCGCTACAAACAGACTGCTAATGAGCAAATCTCCCGTCCCTCGGTCCCAAGTGGAATCACCCTCCGAGTCCGGCGTCGCGTGCCATCCCGGGGGGACACCCATCGATATGGTTAGCATCACAATGGCCGCCCAGTCGGTCTCTAGGTGACCAGCCCATCACGTTAGTGTGACGTCGACGTAATCAGACGCATGCGCAGTGGGAGGCTACTCAGCGTCGCAAACTTGCTACTGCAATTAAGGAGTTGTGAATCGAGAAATGCGAAACGTTAAAGCCAGTCCCGGCCCGCTAGTTACATTAGGGAAATATGGCTTTTGCTGGACGATGGGTTTTGTACCTTTTTTTTTTGCGGTGGAGAGACGTCTTGATGTTAGTTGTACGTGCAAAGTGATGTGTTTGACGTGCGTGTGTTTTGTGTACAAGTAAGACGTCAATTTAAATAGAATATGACAGATTTGTATGTGGTTGAGTGTGTACATTAAGTATGATATAATGGAATGTGTGTACATTAAATGTGACACACAACAGTATATGTACTAAACGCATAAACTATGAAGTATATGTAATAGAGTAGGTATATACATAGAATATGACGTAATTGGGTGTGTATAAGCTATATAATTTGAAGTACTTGATTATGTTATGTACGGAGTTATGGGCAGATTATGGTGTATGTCATTTTACAATATGCATGAGTAGGGTAAGAGAAAGGCAATATCAAAGGGACAAGGGTGAATACACAGTTTCTGTTTTCCTAGTGTGTGTTTGTGTGTGTTTATGTATGTGTTTGTGTGTGTTTATGTGTGTGTGTTTATGTGGGTGTGGGTGTGTCGATATGCGTTTGTGTATTTGTGTTTAATGTATCTGTGTGTGTGTGCGTGTGTGTTTGAACGCATGTGTGTTTATAGGTGTGTATATATGTTTGTGGTGTGATTTTTTTTTCTTCCGATTCAGTGTTTGTGTACACGATGAAGAAAAAACCGTGCACGGAACACCCCCACCATATAATATGTCTAAATTAACTATAAGTTGACATTAATACAAAACTGTTTAGATAAATATCATAGCATGTGGATAGTGGTTATATGCCCAGATTTTCTTTCAGGCATCTCTTCGAGGGGGGGGGGGACTACGAAAATGTCTACCGATCCCCCCCTACCTTGAACGAAAGTGAATTTATATAGAAAAAATATTTTTTTACCAGTGTCCGCCTCTCCCCGAAAAATTTACCCCCCCCCCCCACCGGAGAAAAAAGTCTGAAAGAAACACTGGATATGCCAAACAAAGTGCTAACATGTGCTATAGCGCACGCGCGCTAAAAATTAATCTATATATATAATTCTCCTCTTCGAGCCGTTAGAAAACAAGCTGCAAACGCTCTCCCTACCTCCCCACCCTTACATGGTTTTAGTGAGCTGTGTTCACTCTAAATGTTTACAAGCAGAGCCAACGATTTTAAACGTAGGGGGGGGGGGGAGGGGGGGGGGGGAAGGAAGGGGGGGGGGGTTTATGGTCCTTAACGAGCTACTTATAGTGTTTTAAAGAAATATTTTCAGTGTCAGCGTTGGTACTGTCGAATTCACAAATTATGAATTATTGAAAATTAGAAACAACTAAATAGCGGCGTATGTTATGCCGCGGGCCGGCTCGTATTTTATATTTGTGTTGAAACAAGCTAGTTCTGAAATATCAAAATACAGCTAAACTGTTGATACACGTGTTTTATAAATACGTTGAGGTCTAATGTTTCAGATTAGCACAAGTATTTTCCCCTGGAGAATTTTAAAAAAAGCAAACAGCACCCACATTTATCCGTCGGTTTTTTTTATGCATTCCTTATGGGATACGGTTTGGGAGGTGGAATATGGCTGCCGATGCATCCCCCCCCCCCCCGGGGGAATGCCCCGTGGGTTACCGGTGCACCTCACGAGATGTCTTCTGACACCGACGGGGAGGACCGTGTCCTGGAGGACCTTCACTGCGCCCGTAGGACCCCCATCGCGCCTGCTAGAATGTTCGGTTGAATAACTTGTCCCGTCCCCCCGTGGTGTCGATGACGTGTCGTGCAATTTGCATGTGTGAGCTGGGGGTGGGGGGGGAGGCGCTACTTGAGTGACGTAGCTGAGAGATAATGGGGTTAGATGGCTGGGGTGGGGGAGAGGGGGTGGGGGAGGGGGGGGAGGTTGTGTGTGCCATTGTGGATTAGTTGTTTCATGGGACCAGCTCATGAGGTAGATATAAGAGGGTCTGTTATGTTTGTGGAGGGGGGAGGGGTGAAGACTGGGGGGAGGGGAGAGGGGATGGAGGGGGAATGGGGGTGCCATTGTGGATTAGTTGTCCTATGGGACCTGAGGTGGTCAGTTATGTGTGGCGCGTTAACGCCATAGTGGAGGGGGGGGGGTGAAGACTTGGGATAGGGGAGAGAGGGTTGGTGGGATGGGGGTCAGCCATTGTGGATTAGTTGTTCTATGGGACCTGAGGTGGTCAGTTATGCATGCTGCGTGAACGTTAGGGTTAGGCGGACGGGAGGTACACAAATAGAATTGGTAGTGATATTTGGGGGGGGGGGGGGGAGAGAAGGGAAGACAAAGTAGTTGATACAACACCAGTTCGGTAAATGTCAACAATGGTAGAGTTCTGTTGAAAACATATGTTTTGATGATAGGACAAGTTAGAAATAGGTCAAACATAAATGACGTCACACCACACTCGTAAGGGGGGGGGGGCGGGAAGGGGGGTTCCGTAATTTTGTGACGGTGTGTGATGAGGTAGACCGGTGGTGGTGGGGGGGGGGGGGGGGGTTAAGATCCTGTGACGTCACACTTTTGCATTATAAAAAAAACCAATGTTAGAAAACGAGTTTTAGCCCTTATTTCGCTTTTTAGAAAACGGTTTTAATAAATTGTAATAGGAATTGATTAAAATACTCAACGTTGACAGAGTTCAGACAAGATTTTGGAAAAAAATATCGTATTTTAAGAAAAATTCAACAGCAATTTTGAGGGGGGGGGGGGGGTAGGCTGAGGTGTGACGTCATTTTAGGGGGGGGGGTGGCCTGGCTTTTTGTGACGATGTGTGACGGAGGGGGGAGGGGAGAGGGGGGGGGGTAAATATAGTCAAAAAGAGCGTGACGTCATTTATGGATGACCCCCAAAGGAGAAAATATATATTGAAACCGGATTCCAACTCTCGACTTTCGACTTTCCCGTGACACGTCCAGTAATTTAGGGGTCATCCATAAATGACGTCACACTCGAAGGGGGAGGGGGGGGGGGGTCCGTAATTTTGTGACGATGTGTGATGAGGGGGAGGGGGGGGGGTTTAGATGTTGCGACGTCACACTTTTGCATTATAAAAAAAGCAATGTTAAAAAACGAATTTTAGACGTTATTTCGCGTTTTAGATAACTGTTTTAATAAATTGTAATAGTTTAGACAAGATTTTAGAAAAATATCGATGTTTAAAAAAAATTCAACTGCAATTTTGAGGGGGGGGGGGGTTGTAGGTTGAGGTGTGACGTCATTTTAGGGGGGGGGGGTGTCTGGCTTTTTGTGACGACGTGTGACGGAGGGGAGGGGGGAGGTAAAAATCGTTTCAAAAAGCGTGACGTCATTTATGGATGACCCCTTAATGAATTTGGTAATAATTTTTTTGGTTACTTTGCCTCATACAAGTATTGTATATAGTAAGTTTGCCTTGCCTCGTTACTGCTTAAATATTAAATTTTATCACGGGCTTGTTGGGGACTGATATAGTTTAAAATTAGTAACACTTTTTACTTTCTCGTATATACGTAGTATAGAGAAAGTATTGTAATCGTGCAAAAAAAAAATCGAGATTTTTACAAATCTCGACGTTTTACACCTCACTGATATGGAAAAACATAATTTTGCAATCTTGTCCGTATGTCTGTGTGTCTGTGTGTGTGTGTGTGTGTGTGTGTCTGTGTGTGTGTGTGTAAACACGATAACTTGAGTACCGTTACAGCTAGGTTGATGAAATTTCATATATAAGTATTTTATCAAAATCGTAGATCCGTATCAACTTTTGAGCGATTTCCGATAACCGGAAGTGGTACTTTTTCTACTTTGAATTTTTCAAAAGCCTATAACTTGAGTACTATTTCAGATAGACAAATGAAAATTCACATGTAAGTAAAAGATCTACCTTCTGTTAAATTTTGAGTAATTTCCGTTGACGGGAAGGAAGTACTAATTTACGCTATTTCCGATTTCTCAAAAACGCATCTAAATTTATAAAGTACTAATTAATAATTGCGCACCATTATGAACATCTTTATTCGGCGTTCGCTTGGTGTGCAATACTTTTTTCTATAAGATTCTATATTATTTTAAAAAGTTTTATGTATTTAAAATGGATTAAAAATCATAACTATATCCCGAGTTCCCATCCCTTTTTTTTTTTTTTTTTTTTTTTTTAGGGGAGATCACTCCCGGTTTATTTCTTATGTAGCCTACTATCACTCATTTTTACATTGTTTTTGTTTATGCTTAATACAAATCGTATATTTTTATTTTAGTAAAAAAAATGTAAGTTAATTTAATTTAAAAAAAATGTAATATAAATAAACTGAATATGCAGTAAAAAAAAAAGAATGGTATAAAAATAAACTTAAATAAAAACAAAAGGAACAAGGTAATCGTAATTTGCTAACAAAAGGAACAACACAACGTAACTATAATTTATTAAGAAGTGAAATAACGTAACCATAATTTGTGAACAAATGAAATAGCGTAACGATAATTTATGAACAAATGAAATAACGTAACCTTAATTTGTTAACAAATGAAATAACGTA